TCTTGTAAATGGCTACACATAGCCAAGGATTCATAGTTTGGCTCTGTTGTTGGTTTGGGGGTACCCCCTCTGTCACCCCAGCACACTTGTCCTGCTTGTGTAAGAGAAGCATCGGGCATTTGCATTTTTTTCCTGCTCTGCATTTGCTGGGAAGTAAACGGGCAGCAATAAAGCAACTTTATTATGCACCCTGACTGCCTTGGATGGCACCTGGAATTTGCTGAATCTGCTGAGTGCAAGTTACATTTTAAAAGGCTCCTGAGCCTCCCCTCTTTCATGCCTTGGAAGTCAAGTGGAAAACCACACAGTAAGAATAAGCACGCTGCAGGGGTCCTTTCTCTTGCTCAGACCCTGTGGTGGAATTCCAGCACCTCTTCCCACACCCTCACCTTCCAGCGTTGAGTTTCCATGGCCTGACTTAAACCATCTCCTCTCTCTCTCTCTCTCTCTCTCTCTCTCTCTCTCTCTCTCTCTCTCTCTCTCTCTCAGATAATCAATGCGAGATTTTGCGTATTACCTGGGACAGTACAGTACACTAATTTTTAAAGGGAAAACAAAACCAGAACCTCCTAGTTACTGCTAGTCTGGTTAGCTCTTGAGAAGTGACTCTAAACTAATGAAGCTGATTTTCACATGCATTGTATGGATGCTCACAAAGGCCAACCAAAGGCATTTTGCCCAAACTGCTTTTCATTAGCTCACCCGTGGAGTTGAAAGCAGGGGATGCAATGCAGAATTGAACGGCCAATGTACATTTCAAGCACACTGTTCTTTCTTTGAACGGCTGTTAGAAGATCCTATAAATCCTGTTAAATCTTTCTAGGTGAGACACTTACTTAATGTTAGGTGTAGAGAAGAAAAACCAGATGCCTGATGCTCCCAATGACACTACATTGTGGTTATAATCTCAACTTTTGGAAATGATGGCAAGGGTTAAGTGGGATGATAATTTTGAGGACCAAGCCCAAGGCTAGGTGCAGGATCCATTAAGTGTCTCTTTCCTTTTAAAGCCAAATTGCAGATTATGAACATAAAGTAACTCAGCACACAGAGCTGACTCTGAGATGTTTTCTACTCAGGGAGCGCTTGGTGGCCCTTTGTTGCGACTGTTGATTGCACACATCTGGAAACTATGACAACTGTTTTGCTTTGAGCTGAGCTTGGCCCAAATGTAGCTCTATATAAAGCAGCTTCTATCCTTCAGTGTTTCCCAACACATCATAGCTTGGCTTGAATCTGGGCAAAGGAGTGGGTGTCAAAGGAAATGTACAATGTCAGGGAGGAACTGAGGTTCAATTAACAATTACCCAGCCTTCTGTGGCCCCACTCGGGAGCTGCCCCTCTAGCTTTTATGTTCATTAGCTCATTTAAACAGCACAGTCCTACTGGAAAGCTTCATTCTGACACCTTTTGCAGACGCTTAAACTGAGTCTGGAGCTTGTGGTAGGGTCAGCATCAGAACTTGACTGACAAGTGAGGAGAATAACCAGGATCAACCCAAAGCCGATCCCTGGGAGATGGAAGTTGGACATCCCTCTACGCTCCTTTTCTTTTCTTTCTTTTTTTTTTAACCACCAATTTTGACAGCTGCCTTTCCTCCCATGGCACTCTCACCCTCTGCTGGGCTCCATTATCCATTCCAAGAGCCACACAGAAATCACAGACCATACAAACAGTTACGTGGTTTATGAAGAACGCAACAGGGAATAACTCGGGATGGAGATCAACAAACTACAACAACTCAGGATCATCATCAGGAAGCATGTAGGCAGTCTCCCTGCTTCAATGCAGGACAACTCACTTAGCTTCTCTTGCCTAAGTCCACCTCCTCTCAACACCCTGAGGTCAGATGATCTTATCTTGGTTCTTCTTGCTCCCTTCAGGACAGGCCTCCTTTCAGCCCCTTAAGAACAGGCCTCTCTGCCTTTGGCTACCCTGCTGTTGGCTCTGCCACAGGCCTCTCTCTTCCAGATCTGTCACCATCTCCAGTGTTACAATCTTCGGCCCATGTTACAGATCTTTTAGGAGATTCCTTGACTCCTCTCTGTCTGCTGCTTCTCTCTTCTCATCCTTCTCCTTCCTGTTTCTTGGCTATAAAACTTAGATGAATTTAGCTGTTTGTCAATTTCAAGGCAAGGTTCCTGCCAGCATACGAGGTGGGGCACCTAGATGCTTCATTTAAATAGTTGGGCTATAGTCATCTTATTTGCATAGTCTATTGACCAATCCCCAAGGCGAATATCAATCACAGGACAAGTTGCAGCCCAGGACCAGAAAAAAATTTTCAACGGCAAATTGTTTACAGCTTACCCAGTAAAAGTCAATTGACTGGACAAAAGTCACAAACCCTCTGGAGATGAAAACTGCTCAGGTCATAGGGAGAAACCTCGCAGGCTGTCTTTCCAAAGAATCAAGGCAAATGACACATAAAGGAACACATTTCCCCATAGAGATTCAGTGATTTTCCCAAGGCCACAGATTTAGTAAGTCATGGACTTGGGCTACACCTCAGGCTTGTAGATATGAGAGGAGGCAAGAGTATTTGTGCTGCTAGAGTAATCAGCTACGTAAGGGTCTGCCTCCCAACGTCTACTTCTAGTTGATACTATCTGCAACAGGGATTCCTTGTGACACTGTGGGTTAGGTGTTGGGTTACTAACCTCAAGGTCAGCAGTTCAAACCTATCAGAGATTCTATGGGAGAAAGAGCAGACTGTACAATTTACCACCTCAGAAATCCTACATAGGGATTTAGTCAAAATCAACCTAGTGGCAGTGGGTTTGGGTTTGGGTGAGTCAGCAATCAGGCTTAAAGGTAAAAGAGGATCTCACATAAGATTCCTTGGCCTTTAGAAATCTTGTGTCCAGGCCTCTGTCTACTACGTTATTTATCCTCAGAGACATGTAATGAGATATGGCTAAGTAAGCATGTCATGTATCCTTTACCTGATGACTAATTTTTAAAATATATAATTTTTAAAGCATGCACTAATCTTTTGGGTGTTTCATTTGCTTTTTCATTTTGATGATTCAGAAAGTACGTTAGGGCCAACTAGTGTTAGGTCCTAACACTAAGATTGTCATTCATTTATTCAACAGATATTAGTTCATCTGAGTTATCTAGATGTTAGGGACACAAAAATGAACAAAAACCCTGGAACGTGCCATCTGTTGTCACTGAGTGAGAAAGAAAGTGCTTTCTCTTTCAAGAATGCTTTTCAAAAGTTTGCCTTCCAGTGTCAACCATATAAAGAAATATGGAGCAAATCTAAAAGAAAAATCTATAGAAAACCACACCTCCATAAGAAAAATACAAATAACTCAATTAAAAATGGACAGAGCACATGAACAGACAATTCACCAAAGATGAAATACAAATAGCCAACAAACATTTGAAGAAATTCTCATGATCACTAGCGTTCGAGAGATGCAAATCAAAACAACGATGAGATACCACCTAGCAGCCAAATTAAATAAAAACAAAACAAAACAAAACTGGAAAAGGTGTGGAGCGCTTGGAACCATCACACAGTGCTGGTAGAACTGTAAATATGCATGACCACTGTGGAAAGCAATATGGCCCTACCGCAAACAACTGGGAAAATAAATTCCATACAATCCAGAAATCTCTCTGCTGGGTATGTACCCTAAGGAGTAAGAATAATAACATAAACAGACATAAGCATAGCCATGTTCATCCCAGCACTGTTCACAATAGCAAGACAATGAAAACCACCCTCATGCCCATCAGTAGAAAAATGGATAAAGACATTTTGGTACATACACAATGGAATACTATGCATCATGTAAAACCAATGGTGAAATCAGGAAGCGCCTTGTGGCACCAATCAACCTGGAGAATGTTAAGTTGAGTCACATTAGAAAATCACAAAAGAACAAATATTGTCTGAGACCACGATAATAAAGAAAAACAAAACAAACCCCCGAAGACAAAGCATTTCAGACCAAAGGGAACAGACTTGGAGTTTACTAAAGAGGGGAGGGTAAGCAAGGGAAAATGAGTTGATTTAGGGTCCGTATTAACTCCGTGAAGGGAAAGATAATAATCCACAAGAGAGAAAAAAGAAATAAAAGGAGTGGGGTAGCTATTGGGGAGTTTGATGAGTACTTTAAACTATTGAATACAAGATTATTGATGATCTGAAATGTACATCCCCACCTAATTCACAATTGAAAAATGCCACTGGATTTTTTTTAATCCAGCAGGGTGACCTCTTCTGGACAGTTTTCAGCAGTGCTTCCAGACTAAGACTAAAGAGAAAGATCTGGGTCTGCTCCCCCATATAATGCAAAGAATGCCTTTTGGAGAGCCGCAGAAAATGGATGAGGCCACATCATCGAAGGGATCGGTCCCCAGAGGAAGACATCCTGTTTGATGAACTAGCGGGCCTGTGCGGGTCTGATACGGGAGGCCTTCAATCACTGCGATGATGGACTCAAACATGCTGGTGGTTGGGGCGCTGATGCAGGACTGGAAGCATCTCATCTTGCTGGTCATTAAAGTCACCATGAGTCAGCCTCCAGTTGATGGTAGCTATCTATCCAGTGGCACTGTTCCTCAATCAGGACTGGTCTAGAATTCACACGCTGGCAGTGGAAATGGAAGGAGCTATTGTGACTACGCTGGGGCTCAAAATTGCCTCCCGGAAACAAGGGAGTCTTCCCTTAACGGGACAAAAAGAAAGACGCTTTTGAGGAGAAAAGAAAGGGATATAAGAGTTGGTTCTACGGATGTTAACAAAGGACTTGAAAAAAGAAATAAAGAACAAGGCCAGGCCAGTCCCAATGAATTTTGGAAGACAAGGGTGGTTACTAGCAGGTGTTCACACAGCGCAGGCATCAGCTGGCAGAAAGTGGGTCATCGACCCCTGGAACCGGGAATGCTCAGCGCAGGCGGGCGACGGTGGCGGGTGCAGGTGCGCGCCTGCCACGTGGGGGCGCTCGAGCGCGGGCTGCCTGAGCAACCGTCCCGGAGGGAGCATGGCGTCCAGCTACAAAAAGTCCACTGGGGCGTCCGGCAGCCAGAGGAAGAAGTTGGGCCCGAAGCCCGAGCTCACGGAAGATCAGAAGCAGGAAGTCCGGGAAGCGTTTGATCTCTTCGATGCCGACGGCAGTGGGACTATCGACGTGAAGGAGCTGAAGGTGGCCATGAGGGCGCTGGGCTTTGAGCCCCGCAAGGAGGAGATAAAGAAAATGATCTCCGAGGTGGACAAGGAAGGCACGGGGAAGATCAGCTTCAATGACTTCCTGGCCGTGATGACCCAGAAGATGGCCGAGAAAGACACCAAAGAGGAAATCCTGAAGGCGTTCAGGCTCTTCGATGATGACGAAACGGGCAAAATCTCCTTCAAAAACCTCAAGCGCGTGGCCAACGAGCTGGGGGAAACGCTCACCGACGAGGAGCTGCAGGAAATGATCGACGAAGCCGACCGTGATGGAGATGGAGAAGTGAACGAGGAAGAGTTTCTCCGGATCATGAAGAAAACCAACCTTTATTAAAGCCACGGTCTCCGGCGAGCACCAGGGCCTTCGCTCCTGCCTTGTGAAACCTTGCTTTGCAAGGGCAAGTGGGCACCCCCCACCCCCTTGTCTGCTATACGCCTGGATGATCCTATTTCCCAATCCCTGATTCAATTAGAAAATTTTAAGCTGAATTTGAGTTGGGGTTGTCATTCTCTAGAGTAGATGGCATAAAAGGACGCCGGAGGCTTGACTTCGAAGCCAAGTTCACTGCGGTTGAGTCAATGCTGACTGACTCACAGCGACTCTGTGGGTTTCCCATTTGCCGGAGTAGAAAGCCCAGTCTTTCTCCCGCCGGGTGGTTTCCAACTGCTGACCATGCACATCACAGCCCAACACTCAACCACGACACCGCCAGGACAGCCGTTAAAACCCAACGCAAAACAACTTCTTGGGACAATCAGACATGGGATCCACTGGTCCCTTTCAGTAGCCTTGGTTAGTGTAATGGGTTGTCACTGGGCTGCTAATCACAGGGTACCCAGTTTGAAACCACTAGCTGCTCTACGTACGGAGAAAGATGAGGCTTTTGCTCCCACGGTGATGTCCAGCCTCCAAAATCCAAAGGGGGCAGTTTTGCTCTGTCCTATAAGGTCTCTACGAGTCCGAGTGGGCCCAACGTCAGGGAGTTTGGGTGAGTGTCGCTTGTCTGGTGTTGACAGAGGATCTTCATATATATATTCCTTAAATACAGTTAGTTATGACTCAGATAGTACTGCCTCTGGGGGGTTCTGAAACTGTAACTATTTAGGTTAGTAGAAAACTTTAGCTTTGCCCCGTGGAGTGGCTGGTGGTTTGGATCTGCTGAACTTGCGGTTTGCAGTGCAATACACGATGATACCAGGGCTCCTATCAGCCAAAGCTGTCCCTCACAACAATTTAAAAATGATCTGAGAGCTATAAATGTAAACAAATGAAATCACCGTTATCTGAATAATATCCTTTAGAAATTTTCAATTTTGCTTCAGAGCCATGGGTACAGACTGAAAGAGCCATGTACGGCTTGAGAGCCGCAGTTTGCCGACCTCCAGCCAAACGTTGCTTTTTGCTAAAGTGAATACAACAGAAGCCCCACTACTGAGGCTGACCCTACAGAGCAAATGAGCATTGCTTCTTAGGAGCCTGAGGCTGGGCATCTGTGGATCAGATAACCTCAGGTTTCTCCAGAGGAGCAGTCGGTGGGTTTGAACACCTGCCTTTGTGGTTAGCACTCCCACACTTACTTGACAACACCACCAGAGCGTTTAAAATGGAATTTTAGTGTGGGGGAAAAAACCAAAAAAAACACCAGTTTGTCCACTAATGTCCTGAACTAGGCTCAGGAAAAATACTGCTGGACCCATAGCCATAGATAGAATTTGCCTGAGAGTTTAAGCTAATGACTTTGAGTAAATATTTGCAAATATAAGGACTTAGTAGTTTAGAAAATTATAAAAAATAAATTAGCTGTTTGCCTTTATAAGATTAGCTAACTTTAGTCCTTTTATTACTGATTTAACACAAGTCATTATCTGAATTCTTAAAATATCTTTGTACTTGATACCGGCTGATTTCCCCCTCTTGGCATATATTTGATGCAAGAGTGGATAACTAGTGCACTCATCAGTGTGCAGAACAGCCCCCGGCCATCAAGTCACAGTGACCTAGAGGAGAGAGGAGAGCTGTTTGCTTCACAGGCTTCCGGGGCTGTCACTCTTCACGGGAGAAGACACAGCAGCTTCCTCCCAGGGAACGGCTGATGAGTTTGAAAGGCTGATCCAGCCCAATGCTTAGCCCACATTGCCATCAAAGCTCCATATAAGTAGAGATTTAAGCAATTCTCGATGTTACAAATCCAAGGAGACTATTTTTCTGTGGCTTCGATGTGTGTATTAATTAGTAGTATACCATATATACTCGTGTATAAGCCAAGTTTTTCCAGCACATTTTGAATGCAGTTTTTGTGGTAAAATTAAGTGCCTCGCATGATATTAGGGTTGGCTTATACTCGAGTATGTAGGGTTTTGTTTTTCTATAAAGTTTTCTCTTTTTTTAATCATTTTATTGGTGGTTTATACAGCTCTTATCAGAATCCATACATATATCCTTTGTGTCAAGGACATTTGTGCATATGTTGCCATCATCATTTTCAAAACATTTTCTTTCTACTTGAGCCCTTGGTATCAGCTCCTCATTTTCCCCCCTTCCTCCTGCACCTTCCCTCCCTCATGGGCTCTTGATATTTATAAATTATTATTTTTTCATGTCTTACATTGACTGATGTCTCCCTTCACCCACTTTTCTGTGGTCCGTCCCCCTGAGTATACTTGTTATTGTAATAAATGAAGCTAAAATACCTTTTTGGATATCTAAAAATGAGAATATAAAAAAATATACCCTTGTAGAAAGATAATATCTATATTCTGAAATGGAGGATTTGACTATCAGTTTAATAATAAGCAGTCTATTAAACATACAAGATTTGGGGGGGCAGAAGTAAGGCTAAATTAAATCTTCATACAAAGCCCCATTGAGATAATGCTCAAATTCTGGAAATTTCTTCATTTGCCTTGCCAACAATTCTGTCCTTTGAGGGTGGCCGATTTAATCAGAGGACTGTCTACTCGAGGGTTAAATCTCATTAACAGGGACTCATTTGTCAAAGCAACAGTAGTAGCCAAAGTGAAGGGCATTTACTGTGAGGATTTTGCTAAAGTGGCTGGCCCAGGGCAGGGGAAAACACCCGGGCTGAAAATTCAAGATCTTAGTGTGCGCTTGGTTGCAGTCATAGGGGATACATGTTCAGCCTGGGCCAGCATGATGAGGTTTTCTACTCTGGAACAGATTTACAAGCTCAGAAACTCACATGGGGCAGTTCTACTCTGTCCTTTAGAGTCACCGTGAGTTGGAAAGGGTGGCAGTAAGTGAGTAAAGGCAAGGAGAAGAACATGGCATTCTTGGAAGCAGGTGTTCTTGGCGTCCTCTTAGCCAGAATTTTGACCCAAAGATCTACATATGGTTCCCGATATAAAGACCAGAAACAAGAAAGTTGGCAGAAACTAAGAAAAGTCCGAGCCTCAGCCAACTAGACTGAGCTCAGTGTTGGCTCGTCAGGCAGGAGAGGATGGAAGAGAATATTAGGAACCTGGGCAGAAGACCAGCACTCATCATGGTCGGGACTACCAAAGAAGCAGTACTTAAAGGGGTGTCCTGAAAGCACAATCCCTCTCAGTTAAGGTACAAGAGCCCCAGAACATTTCTGAATCCCACTCTGATTTACTAAGGAAAGCTTTTCAATGAACTCTTAGGCCTGCTTCTCAATTGGCTCATCCTTGGGGTTGGTGGGGGTCGTGCGGGTGGGGGCGGTTGGAGGAAGCCTAGGCTAACATTAGGGGTTTAAGAGAAGTTAGTCATACGCTGGTAAGGACAGACATATATGCTAGTCTTTACAAACTTAGAACATGGAAATTTCAAAAATTTAAAGACATCTTTTTGTAGATGAGGAAATATAGTTCTAGAGGTTGGGAAGAACTAAAACTTTAATTTTCTCTGGACAATGGACTAGAGCAAATGGTCCCAATAAGGAAAAAGAAGGAACACACTAAAGAAACCCGTATGAATTTGTGGGGGCCGCATTGATAATCCCTTACTTCCTGATGATATCTATGATAGATGAAAAGCAGAGCAGAAGGCCAAGGATGAAGATATGGCAGTACCATTATCGTGTTATGGTATTATCAAGAAAACCAATGCCCCAAGTGAGCAGTGGGCAATTAAAAACATTTTCTTAAGGATAGCTTTTTAAAAACAGGACAAAATGCTTACCATCAGGTTGATTTTGACTCTTGAGCATCAGAGTAGATTTGTGCCCCATGGGCTTTTCAATTGCTGATTTTTTTTTTAAGGGTTCTTAGGGTTTTTTGGGGTTTTTTTCTCTCTTTTTTAACATTTTATTAGGGGCTCATACAACTGTTATCCCAATCCATACACACATCAATTGTGTAAAGCACATTTGTT